GTTCCCTAGTCTCTTTCGAAATTCGCTAGTGTTTTTTCGAGCGGTTTGCTCCTTGTTTTCAAGTCCCCTAGTCTCTTTCGAAATTCTCTAGTGTTTTTCGAGCAGTTTGCTCCTTGGAAGCAAATTCTCTAGTCTCTTTCGAGCGGTTTGCTCCTTATTTTCAAGTTCCCTAGTCTCTTTCGAAATTCTCTAGTGTTTTCCAGCGGTTTGCTTCTTGGAAGCAAAGTCTCTAGTCTCTGTCGAGCGGTTTGCTCCTTGTTTTCAAGTTCCCTAGTCTCTTTCGAAATTCGCTTGTGTTTTTCGAGCGGTTGGCTTCTTGCTCGCAAATTCTCTGGTTTCTTCCGAAATTATCTAGTCTCGTTCGTGCGGCTTGCTCCTTGTTTTTGAAATTGTTTAGTTCCATTCGAGCGGTTTGCTCTCTGTTTTCAACTTTTCTCATCCCTTTCGAAAGTCTCTAGTCTCTTTCGAGCGGCTTGCTCCTTTCGTCTGAAATTCTCTAGTTCCTTTCGAGGGGTTTGCTCCTTGTTATGAACTTCTCCTGTCTCTTTCGAATTTATCTAGATTCTTTCGAGTCGAGCAGATTGCCCCTTCTTCTGTAATTCTCTAGTTCCTTTCTAGCGGCTTGCTCCTTGTTTTCAGATTCCCTAGTCTCTTTCGAAATTCTCAAGTTCCTTTTGAGCGGTTTGCTCCTTCTTCTGAAATTCTCAAGTTCCTTTCGAGCGGTTCGGTCTTTGTTTTCCATTTCTATAGTCTCTTTCAAGACTCTCGAGTCTCTTTCCAGCAGTTTGCTACTTCTTCTGAAATTCTCTAGTGCCTTTTCGAGCGGTTTGCTGATTGTTTTCAATTTCTCCAAGTCTCAGTCGAAATTCCTTAGTCTCTTCGAGCAGTTTGCCCCTTCTTCTGAAACTCTCTAGTTCTTTTCGAGCGGTTTGCTCATTGCTTGAAATTCTCTAGTTTCTTCCTGCGTTCCCTAGTCTCAGTCGAGCGGCTTGCTCCTTTCTTCTGAGATTCTCAAGTTCCTTTCGGGCGGTTCGGTCCTTGCTTTCAAGTTCTCTAGTCTCTTTCGAAACTCTTTAGTCTCTTTTGTGCGGCTTGCTCCTTTTTATAGTTTGTTTAGTTCCTTTCAAGCGGCTGGCTCTCAAATTCTCTCGTCTCTTGCGATATTCTCTAGTCTCTTTCGGAATAATCTAAGTCTCTTTCGAGCGGTTTGCTCCTTCTTCTGAAATTGTCAAGTTCCTTTCGAGCGGTTTGCTCCTTCTTCTGAATTCTCTAGTGCGTTTCGAGCGGTTTGAAATTTGCTCTTTGTTTTCAAAGTCCTGTGCATCATGTGTGCAAGGCGGCGGAGCCATGTGCCGCTAGCCCTTTCGAGCCTGTTCGCAGCCCGCCATCGAGCCAGGCGTGCATGCCACAGGGTCTGCACGGGAGGCTTCATCACAGGAGGGTCTTACTTCTTCAGAGCCGGAATAGGATTTGCAGGCTGGAGATTCTCTGGATTTTGTTTCTGCTGAGGAGATGTCTTTCCTTCAAGGGCCATCGGGTGCCGTGCATTTGGCAACTAAGTCTTCTTGGGGGGTGTCACGCAAAGATATTTTCCTTCGGCCAGCTTGTGGTACTCTTGCTAAGAATCTGGTCATCGTTCAGTTCCCTTCAGCAGGCATCAAGTTCAGCGGGCACATAGCGTGTCGTAAAGCGCCAGGTTCTTCTGCTTGATGGCGGCTTTGGGAATGCAGTGCACAATGCACTTGGAGGAGTGCATAGTTTTGGATGATACGGTACTCGGTGCACCTTTTTGGATGGATTGCACGTGGAAGATGGTGGTGCTGGGTGCACCTAGTGGGCGAAATGCCCGGGTTTCATTTCGAAATCCCCTGTAACCCGTCGTGGCAGGTTTGCTCCTTGTTATCTTCTCTAGTCTCTTTGGAAATTCTCTACTCTCTTTCGAGCGGTTTGCTCCTTCTTCTGACATTCTCTAGTTCTTTTCGAGCGGTTTGCTCCTTGTTTTCAACTTCTCTAGTTTTTTTCTAAATTCACTATTTCCTTTGGAGCGGTTTGCCCTTTGTTTTCAAACATCCAGGCCTTTTCGAAGTTCTCTAGTCTGAGTTCTCTAATCCCTTTCGAGCGGTTTGCTCCTTCTTCTGAAAGTCTCTAGTTCCTTCCGAGCGGTTTGCTCCTTTTTTCTGAAATTCTCTAATACCTTTGGAGCGGCTGTTCCTTCAAATTCTCTAGGCTTACGAAATTCTTTAGTCTCTTTCGAGCGGTTTGCTCCTTCTTCTGAAATTCTCTAGTTTTTTTCGAGCGTTTTGCTCCTTGTTTTCAGTTCTTTCGAACGTCTTTCGAAATCCTTTGGTCTCTTTCGTGCGGTTTGCTCGAAGAAATTCTCTAGTTCCTTTCCAGCGGTTCGATCCTTGTTGCGAAATTGCGAGCGGTTTGCCCCGTCTTCTGAAATTCTCTACTGCCTTTCGAGCAGTTTGCTCCTTGAATTTCAGGTTCTCTAGTCTCTTTCGAGCGGTTTGCTCCTTCTTCTGAAATTTCCTCCTTCTTCTGAAACTCTCTAGTTATTTTCGGGCGGCTTGCTCCTCGTGCTTGAATCCTCTAGTCGTTTTCCAAATCCTCTAGTCTGTTTCGAGCGGCTTGCTCCTCCTTCTGAAATTCACTAGCTCCTTTCGAGCCGTTTGTTCCTTCTTCTGAAATTCTCTACTACCTTTCGAGCGGTTGCTCCTTGCTTTCAAACCCTCTAGTCTTGCGAAATTCTTAAGTCTGTTTGGACCGGTTTGCTCATTCTTCTGAAATTCTCTAGTTCCTTTCGAGCAGTGTGCTCCTCGTGTTCAACTTCTCTAGTCTCTTTCGTAATTCTCTTGTCTCTTTCGAGCGGTCTGCTCCTTCTTCTGAAGTTTCTAGTTATTTTCGAGTGGTTTGCTCCTTGTCTTCAATCTTCTATTGTTTTTCGAGCTGCTTGCTCTTTGTACTCCCAGTCTCTCGTCTCTTTCGAGCGATTTGCTTATAGTCTTCTGTCCCTGGCGAGCGGCTTGCTCTTTCTCCTGAAAATCTCTAGTTCCTTAGAAGCGGTTTGCTTCTTGTTTTCGATATTTCCAGGTCCTTTTGGAGCAGGTTGCTCCTTGTGCTAAAATTCTCTGTTCTCCTTTGAGCAGCTTGCTCCCGTGTTCTCAAATTCCCTAGTCTCTTTCGAGCGGTTTGCTATCTGGTTTCAATATCTCTAGTCCTTCTCGAGCGGCTTGATCCTTGTTTTCGATATTTCTAGATCCCTTTGGAACCGTCTGCTCCTGGCCCTTAAATGTTCTAGTCTCTTTCGCTTGGTTTGCTCCTTGTTCTCAAATTCTCCAACCTCTTTGCGTGGCTTGGTCCTTGTGCTAGTCGTTTTCGAGCGGTTTGCTTCTTTTTCTCAAATTTTCTAATCTCGTTCGCATGGTTTGGTCCTTTTTCTGAGACGCTCTGGTTGTTTTTGAGCGGCTTGCTGCTTCTGCTCAAATGATCCAATCTCTGAGAAGCGGTTTGTTCCTTGTTGACGAATCCCCCAGTCGTTTTCGAGCGGCTTGCTCCTGTTGCTCAAATCCCCTAGTATCTTTCGAGCGGTCTGCTCCTTGTTCTCAAAGTCTCTCGTCTCATGCGGGCGGTTTGCTCCTGTGTTCTCACATGTTCTAGTCTTTGTCCAACGTTTGCCCCTTTTTTCTCAAATCCACTAGTCGCTTCCGAGCGGTTTGCGCCTTGTGTTCTTAAGTTGTCTAGTCTTGTGTTTGGCGGTTTGCTCTTTTTTCTCAAATTGCCATCCCTGTCGCTCGGTTTGCTCGTTCTGAAATTTCCCAGTCTTTTTCGAGCGGTTTGACCCTTTTCTCAAATTAGCTGAAGCTCTTCGAGCGGTTTGCTCCATCTTCTCAAATTCTTTAGTCTTTTGGGTTTGTTCATAAATTCTGTGCTATCTTTCGAGAGGTTTGCTCCTTCTTTCAAAGCCTCTAGTCTCTTTTGAGCGGTTTGCGCCTTCTTCTCAAATTCTATGGAGTGGCTTGCTCCCGTCTTCACAACTGTCTAGTCACTTTCGAACGGTCTGCCCCTTGTTCTCAAAGTCTCTTGTCTCTTTCGCGGTATGCTTCGGTTTCTGTTCCTTTCAAGCGGGTTTGCTCCTTGTTTTCAATTTCTCTGGCCTCTTTCCAGAGATTTGCTCCTTTGTTTCAACATCTCCAGTCTCTTTCGAGCGGTTTGCTCCTTGTTCTCAAAGTCGCTAGACTTTTTCGAGCGGTTTGCTCCATGTTCTCAAGTTCTCTGGTCTCTTTCGAGCGGTTTGCTCCCTGTTCTCAAATTCTCTAGTCCTTTTCGAGCGGTTTGCTCCTTCTTTGGAAATCCTCTAGTTCGAGCGGTTTGCTCGTTTCTAACATCTTTCGGGCGGATTGCTCCCTGTTCTCAACTTCTCTGGGTCTGTTTCGAGCGGCTTGCTCCGTGTTCTGAAATTCTCTGGTTTCTTTCGAGCGGCTTTGCTTTTTTGTTCTCAAGTTCTCTAGTATCTTTCGATCGGTTTGCTCCTTGTTCTCTTTCGAGCGGTTTGCTCCTTCCTTCTAACCAAATCCTTTAGTTTCTTTCGAGTGGTTAGCTCCCTGTTCTCAAATCCTGTCGTGCTTTCGATCGGTTTGCTCCGTCGCTAGCCCTTTCTATGCGGTGTGCTCCTTGTTCTCAAATTCTATAGTATTGTATGTTTCGAGCGCTTAGCTCCTAGTTCACATTTGTGTTTAGTGTCTTTCGCCGTTTGCCTCGTTTGCTCAAATTTTCTAGTGTTTTTCGAGCGGTGGACTCAAATTCGCTAGTCTCATTCGAGCGGTTTGCTTCTTGTGTTCTCAACTTTCCTGATCTCTTTCGAGCGGTTTTCTCGTCTTATCCAATTCTCTAGTATCCTGCACTTGGTTTACTCCTTGTTCTCAAATTCGTTAGTTTCTTTCGAGCGGTTTGCTCCTTCTTCTCAAAGCCTCTAGTCTCGTTCGAGCGGGGTGCTCCCTGTTCTCAAATTCTATCGGTGGCTTTTGGCAGACTGCCTCTCCAAGCTAGCGTTTCTTATTCTCGTCCTTCTCCGTTTCCTTTCTTCCTGCGTCTCCTCTCCTTTCTCCTCCCCTAACTCTCCTTTCTTTCCTCTCCCTTCCGTGCCCTTCCTTGCCCTTCCAGTCCTTTCCACTGCCCTTGCACGGCCGGTTAGGTTGTTTGTTGCCTCCTTCAAGATTCTTGGGCATGAAATTAACATCCTGTCTGGCCGGTTCGGTAGTTTATTGCTCCATTACAGATTCTTTTGTTCCTTCTGCCCCAGACTCTAGACCCCCAAACCCTGAGGATCTAAACAAGGCGCGAAAAAAGACCCCAGCGGGAAAGTGAGCATGAGGAGCCTTTTCGGGCTGTGACAAAAGCCACACCCCTCTCCCGGAAGCTCTGGCGGTCGAGGCAGACAGTCGAAACCTTTCTGACATGGAATGAATAGTCCACGCGTGCTGTGAGTCGCGAGTGGCTGCAAGGTTTCTGTGTCCAAGTTCGTGTGTTCGCGGCCTCACGAGCAGAGACTTTCAATTTCAGGCGGGGGCAGGTATGGTATGTGTGCTGTGAGTTGCACTCGCGGATGTTATGTATTGGAACTTGGCACAATGGTATGCGCACCGGTCGAAACTTAGATTCAGAACAGGAGGCGGCTGAGACTTCCTCTACCCCTTGCCTTGCAACTGATAACTGATTTCAACCAGCTCCTCGAATCAGCGTTCCTTGCCTTGCAGCCCGCGGTGAAGAGAGGGTGGCACGCAAGAGGAATGAACGAACAGCACAGCTTGAATCTACAATTAAACACCATGCCCACGGTTGTGATATTGGTCCGAATCAAGCATAGCTCTTATGATCGTTACGTTGGCAGGCGCCGCATGCGTCCTCGTAACAAAATGTCCGACAGTGACACACCCTAGCATGTCCGCGCGACGCCTTGCAGCGTGCTCGAGAAGCCAAGAGTGCATTTCATGATCCGCTCAGTACTCGGGAAAACTCCGATCTCAATCCTCATCTCAGGTGACTGGTTCTTGTCGTACATGGAAGTCTCCCAGCTGACGCCGGCAGAGTTGCAGAACTTCCTAGCTCCTGGGCTTCGAATGCACGGACGGCAAGGGGCATCGATGTCGCAATGGCTGTGGGCAATTCGAAATTGCCTGTACTAGTCAACAAGAGCCAAATGTCTGTGAGCAGCCTCAAGGCCCGACACCTGAGACAAGCGCCTCACCTCGTAACACCGGCTGTCCCGCTCCACGTTCACTCCGGATGCGGAGTGGTCGGATGTCGCCATTCCTTGCCGAGAGCACCGAAAGAGGCCTTGAAGCCACAACACCGGAACTCTAAACCCCAAAGCCTCCAAAAGTCCTACAGAACCCCCAAAAGTCCAAGTTTCCCCCATGAGGCTCTTCAGTGCCGCTTCCATGGGCCCTCAGTTCGATGGTTCTTCGCTCTGGCGACTCCCGTGTTGCCACTTCTCGTTCTCGCGAGCTGCGCATGACTCTTTGCTGGGAGAGACGTCTGTGTCACTGCCAGAGGTTTTCAATTTTCCGCTTGGGTTTGGATTGCTAAACTATGCTACCTAAACTGCTCTTGCAAATGCCGCACTCTTCGTAGCACGGTACCTCGGAGAGAGGTTTTCGTAGTCATGCCAGGTCCCTCATCGAGAAGGCTTGTAGCGCTGGTTTGCAAAGGCTTATCTTGCAGGTGTGTCTTCGGTACTATTCGTTGTTTTGGAAGGCTGCCCCTGGTGAGCACTTCGGGGATTAATCATTTACGCGACTTTTGACTGCAAAGCTGCCAGGTCTGCAAAGCTGTTTGCTGCAGGCTTTCTCTTCGCTTGATCTTCTTTTCTTGTGTGGTCGCCTGCAGTGGTTTGCAGAGGCCTTTGCTAAAATTGGCTGGCGAACCAAATCACAACTCGGCCAAGGCTTGGAAATCTGCACCCGCGGCACCGGCGCCTAGATCGCAACAGCTTAGCCGGTGCCTCGCCGGGGTGCCTTGGGCCCTCAGAGGCTCTCAGAGACCACAGGGTCCCCCCCCACCCCATTTTTTTTGTGGGTACTTCTCGAGATGAGGGTCCCTCATCCCAGGAATCCGCGTGGCCTTGAAAGTCTTGACCCTCCTCTACGTGGGCGGCGCCTCAGGGGCCTTTCGCTTCCAGGCCTGCCAGCACCTGGACGGCGAAGGCGCGCCCCACGGCCCCCTCCCTCCCTCCACCAAGTCTCGTCTACTTGTGGCCATGAGTGCTTTGGCTTGAGTTTCAAGAGTTCTGGGGCCCTAAATAAGCCCCTGCCATGGCCGTGCGAGGCCGCGCCATCCCGGAGCACTTGGCCTTCCGCCCGCTGCTTCCTCACACTTGGCTAGTTCAGGCTTTACCTCCAACTCTCTTTACCTACAGTTTAGCAGCCACGACCCCTTAATTAGTAAGTGGAACCCATAAAACTGTAGGTAATTAGAGTCCCATGTAGGGTTTATCTTTACTCGAACACCTGAAAAGACTCCGCGAGTGAGGATGTGCATAAATACCCAAACCCTTTTAAGCCCGGCTTCCTCATCGTACCCCTTATAGTGCGTACCCTTGTAGTACCCCCGCTACAGCCCAGCTCAAGGCTCTTCCCTCATCTGAAATGCGCCGACGATTCCGGCGAGGCATTCCTCGCCGGAGCCCCAAAAAGCGAACCTGGGTTGCCCGTAGCAAATAACAAGAGCCTTAATGGCGCCGGGGGGGGGGGGAGAGCATAGTAATCAGAACAGGGTTGGAGTATAGTAGTTATCTAGGGCCGATGAGGGGAAGCTCTCAGACCTTTGCACTGGTTTCAGAGCTTCTTCAACAAGGTTTGCCTGGTTTGATGGGGCTCCGGCTTTGTAAGGTTTCGCAGGGTTGTAAGTATATTTTGCTGAGGAGCTAGGTTTGTAAGGGTTTGAGTACGTGACCCGCTTCTAGTGACATTGCTGGAGGGTTTCGCAGGTTCTTTGTTAACTGTAAAGGATAACCAACGATAATTACAAAGAAAGCTTCTGCTTTTCAAAAACCCTAAAAACCCTGAGCCCTAAATGAGGCGAGGGTTTAGGGTTGTCACCAGGCGGGCGACCGACGACACGCAGTTTCGGGTTTGGGGGGCAAAGTGCCACCACGAAGGCTATTTATCGCGAGCGGTCGCCTTGCAAAACAGTTCACCGCCAGCCAGAAGTTCTACACCCCAATGCTGTGAACCAACACAGCAAGAAGGAAGTTGACCGTGAACCGCGCAGATTGCCGCGCCATTGGCAAACCCCAAGCTTGCTCCAGTGTCACCCTGGGGCCCTGTCCAGCAAGCCCGCAAAATGCGAACACGCAATGAACTGTTTAAGTTTTACATCTTGGTAGACATAGGCGCGAAGAAAGCGAGAAGAACATGAAACCTACTACGAAGTTAGAGCTCAGGATTTGCACGTTTAGAGCATTTAGGATGCAAAGAGGGTCTTCGGGGCCTATAGGGCTAGGGATCGGAAAGGGTAGAGACATACTTGTTGGGTTTGGAACCCTGACCGCTCGGTGTAGACGCATTGAGGTGGATCTCGTTGGTGGGATCACCTGTGTGGCGTACGGCATTGTCATTCCCTGCTGTTTTGCCGTGCTCTTCGCCAAGCAGCATGTCGTAATGCAGCCGCTTGACCGAAGCTCTCTCAGCCACGGAAGAGCTTTTCAATATCTTCCGGGTCCCCAGTCGAAGCAGAAGAGGTTGTGCCATCGCCAGGCAGAGCAAGATCTTCTTCATCGCATGCGACGATGGCAGCCAGGGAAAGGTGCATTTGCGTCTTGAGTTTTGCGAGAAGTCCGCCACCTTCCAGGAGATTCCTGCCGTTCAAAACCTAGGCCCGCCAGAAACACATGGAGACGACTTCAAGTGAAGAAGAAAGAACTCTAAACCGTCAAAACATGTGGTTGTGTGCTTCATTGGTCTGCTGGGGCGGAGCTTTCAAGGCTCCAACTCTACATGACAGGCGGTCTGGTCAAACGCTGTATAACTTTAATCGCTTCGTTATCCGCAAAAAGTAAGTTGGCAGATTTACGGTACGGATGAAGACAGCATCACGGCAGGAATCCAAAACGGCCAACCTGCTGGTCGCCGCTGCCGCGGCCCATGTAGCAGTCCACATTCGTGGGAATGCAGCCGTGGAGCTGCGCAAAGATGAAGTGACTCTCGGTGAAATTCGCACGTCGCTCTCTTGCGAGTTTCTTCTTTGAAAAATAAGAGGTGCCTTTGTGGCAGAACTCGAGTGGCCGCCTAATGAGGGGGAGCCGGGTCCTGTGATCAGAGCAGGGGGGATTACAAAAGAGGTTCTTGAAGGGCGCAGATAGGAAAAGGTCACGTCTGATCGCGTTGAGCGACGGGTCCGTGCCGAAGTAGTGGCATTGCCTGGCTCTGAGACTTCTGCTTGGTCTTCTTCCATCGCACATGATGAAGTAGACGCGAGGAGAAGGGGTTTGCTTTGGTCTCCTGTCAGTCAAGCTGCCCTTGCATTCAGGATCGTGACAAGCTTGGAGGGAGACAGCACCCAACACCACACAGTTTCAGTGACCTTGGCCTGTTCTTCCATGTTCACATGGCAGTACACAGATGCTTTCAATACCGTGAGACAGCTGCGGCCGGCTCAGGCAGAGAGTCTCATCTTGCCGATGACGCAGAAGCACACAAATATACTGAACCGCAACGTTATGATGCGCATGCTCACCGAACGCATTCTTCTGGAAGAAGCGGAATCGGACAGACGCTGGTTCGGCACAAATCCTGTTTCTGTGTCCTGACTGCGCCTGCGGAACTTTCCGAATCCTGCGAGCTTGCACTCGTTGCTTGCTCGGTTTGCGAGAATGCTCTCTAAGGAATCATGAAGGGAGCGAAGCGGCTGCTGTGCAAATATGCTGCTTGGCGATTGTAAGGCATGCGGAGATTGGCGAGGACGTTCGGCACTTGCAAAAAAACTGCCAGTGCAGGCTGTGGAACTAAGCTACTTCCCAGCAGGACATACGACACCCACCCGCGAGAGACCTCCCCTTCCTGCCAAACTTGAAAACCATTTCGGAGGTTTCTCAGGGGCCAACTATGCCCTAACTCATGCGCTGAGGCCAGCTGCCGGAATGTACGGATGGAGGTGCCTGACACCGGGACCGGCTCAAGCAGGGGTACAGCCTATGGCCTGTTTGTTGCAGCCTCCGAGCCGCCATCAAGAGTCTAACTGCATGCCCCTGCAAAGCTGCCAGCTCATTCCACAGAAACAGCAGAGGATGATGATGCTGATGATGATGGTGGTGGTGGTGCATGATCATGCTCATGCTCATGCTCATGCTGATGCTGGTGGTGATGATAATGATGGTGGTGGTCATGATGAGGCCATGACGAGCATGATGCTGATGCTCCTGATGATGAAATACGAAGTTGCTTCGACCCAGGACAGCAGAATGATAGGGTATTGATTTCGCGATGTCCAACACACCCGACGTGACGGCTCCTTTCTGGAACCTGTGATGACGCTCGTGATCACAGTACTTGCCGTGTGAAGTCCCGGCGCATCCGATGTGGATAGCACCCAGAAGCTGGAACCCCTTAAGGGGCGACGGGGTTTCTATGCATGGGGCCTTGTGCAGACAGCTGGCACCTTACATTCCACTTACCACGACTTTTTTTGTTCGCCCCAGCCGGTTTCTTCGGCTAAGTGCGGCTGTCATTTACGGAAGTTAAGGTGCGTTCCTCAAGCAAGGGATTTTGGGATCCCTGAAGCCTGAGCACGAAAAATCCTGGAAAGGGGTTCCCTTGCAGGTGGCCCTGAAGCTTGCATCCATAACCTTGGTCTCTGCCACCTGGACTTCACAGCTAATTAACTCGGTCACGGCTATGTTAGGGAGGGAGAAAGAGAGAGAGAGAGAGAGAGAGAGAAAGAGAGAGGCAGAACACAGAGCCTACCCCGCTGTCGTTGCCGTTCTGGTGAGGGGCCCCTGACCGCCGCCCACTCATTGAAACCATGGGTGGTCGGGCCCGTCCGAGATGGCCTGAGGGTCGCTAGTCGAAAGAAAGAAAGAAAGAGGCAGAGGATGCAGGGGAAATCCTTCGAATTTCTCATGCACCTCCCACTACTGCTCGTTTGCTGCTCCTCGTCTTCCAACGATAAGACGTCAAGTAAAACCGGGTAAGGTTTCGTTTGACTGTTGTTGGAGTTGACTGTGACGGATACTGTGGATGATGTTGCCGTGGGGGGGTGGAGCTTGCGGTGATTGGTTTGGTGAGGGTGGTGATGATGGTGACGAGGTTACGAGAGGACGTCGGGGAAATTAGAGTTGTGAGCCGTTCTCGGAGCCCAATGACATCAGCTTCAGGCTGTAGCTTTAGGCTTCGGTGCTGTCAGGGCCCTGCATTGCTTGCGAAAGCGATGGCCAGAGAGGTCGTCACTGCGAGGGACGGCCCGTGGCTCTCCGTGGCCGTCTGCCTGGCCAGGGGCTCAGCTAGGCTTCTCTTAGAGAAGCCCGAAATTCCCGGTAATAACCCAAATTTAACTCAAAAAGGCCCCTCAGTGCCCGTAAACAATGAGTCAAATCCCCCCAATAACCCCAAATTTAATTCAAAAAGGCCCATCAGTGCCCAAAAAACACCGTCAACACTCTGCTAAGATCCCCGAGGCCATGGCTCTGGTCATCGGCCTCGCCCGGCCCTACGCAAAGCCCCAGGCGGAACAAAAGCAGTGAAAACCCACAGTGGGTTACTTCATAGCAGGTTTCGGTCCGAAGCCAACATGTGTTATTGAGGGGTTACAACCAAAGAGAACTGTTGACTGCAACTGTTTGTAGTTCAGACTGCTTGTCTTGGTCAAGGGGATGATGACGATTCCCACCTATGACGAAGATGATTCCATTCAGGACTGATGATGATTTTGCTGATGCCGCCTCCTGTCCTATACATGATTCGTTCATACAATGAATGGGTACTATTCAGACGGTTGTCACGCGTCCCATTCGCACGGTGGATGCTCTGGAGATCATCATTATTGCCCCAGATGTTGCAACAGAATTGTACATGCGTGGCCTGGAAGACTGCAGCGAAAAGTGGGCGAATATATCAGTCAGGCTTCAGGGCTGGGGGATCTTCGAACAATCCGGAACCTCAAGACGAACCAGGTGCACAGCGAAACACACGGTTTTTCGGCCATTCGTAGTTTCCCGTCGCTGCAGGTGAATACGCTGCAGAGCTTCTCTTTTTCATGCGACTCGGATAAACCGGAGGGGAACTCTTTGCAGCAAAGACAAGGTAAAGGCCCGAGTCCATATGCGTGTGAAATATTATCGCGCCTGCCGCCTGCCCCCTGAAGCATCACACTTGCAGCTTAAAAGGGTTTGGGGTTCTTCAAGTCCTCAGGTACATCGGCATTGTCGCAGGCTAGACCCCAAAGCCCGACACACTTCTCAACATCTTTGCTACTTCAAAGAATGAACAAAAGCCAAGTGAGCGCAACGACCAACAATTCGTGATGTAAGAAGCCTTACCCTAAAACCCCACACGTCCCACACCAGAAATATACATAAAGGCACTAGTTAAATCCTAAAACTTAAATCAACAAGGATAAGCCAGAACTCAAACCCAGAACCCCAACCACCTTTTGTTTCCTGACCCACCATGTGTTCTTCCCCTCTTGCTCTTATGGAGCCCGGAATCTAGGCTTGTCGGTGGCCGCGCTGGGCTTCTCGCACCGCTTCGCCCAAGTCGCACGCCTGGCGCTGGTGGCACCGCTGCTGCTGGCGGCCTCCTTGGAGGGATTCCCGGCAACTCCCGAGAAGCCCAGGTACCCTACACAGTAGGCTGCTGGGTGTTGTGGGTATACCTATAGCTCTATTCTCAACCAGCACAAACCCCCACTTTGTGGGTTTCCGGTGGGATTTGTGACTTTATAGGATTTTAGGGCTTGGTTCGGACAGTTTGGAGCTGTTCAAACGTAGTGCTGTTCAAACGTAGTGCACGATTCCAGAAGGCTTGCAGGAACTCGGGGCCATGCGTGCCGCTCCGAAATGCCACACACATAGACGGACGTTTTGCGGTGTAATGTGAAGAAATTTTGTGTGTGTGTGCGTGTTGGTATATAACACCTCAATTCTGACTAGGTTCGCATTGAAGGGCCGAGCACTGCGCAGCTGACGGTTTAACAGCCTAGACGCACGAGCAACCCAACTGCAGCTGACGGTACAGAAGGCTCTCGGCCCTTGCCTCGTGTGCGCGTGCGGTGTATCTTGCGACTCGGGGCGTGCAGACACACCAGCGAGACTTGGGTACCGTTGGATTTGGGGTTTTTGGTGTGTGGTTAAGCCCCTGAAGTTCAGCAATATCACGGTCGAGTTGTGCTGTCTCGTGCCCTGTCAGCTAGCAACCTTCGCAGGTTTGAACCAGAATCGAGCGTCATGTAAGGGTAGGGTGTGCGGTATATGCCGTAAACATTGCCAGCTTGCCTGGAGTCAATTCCGAACCGGACTGGGAAGAAATCCGAAGTGCGAGGTGGTTGTGCAGCTCCTGCGCCCGGACTCTGCCGAGGGCCTGGCATTGCGTCTTCAGGAGGCCAGGGCTAGGAAATCACTGATGCTGCTTCCGCCCTTTGGACACCGGAACCTGTCAGTGGAGTGCGAGCGCAAAGCCTTTAGCGTTACCCTTCAGCTTCCTGTGCTTGTGCACTCTTGCCAGGAGCTGAAAGACAAGATCCCTGAAATGCAGAAGGGCGAACTGGTTGAAGTGAACGCAGAGCAGCTGAGGCTGTTGTGACATATGACTGGCTTTCCGGTCAATCGCAGAACCTGTTGCAAAAAAGGCTCTGGCAGTGCGCAGCAACGCTGCCAGTTTGTCTTTTGGAGCGCTGGCCAGAGAACACATGACAAAGAGATGTGTTCATCGGTAGTGTTAATCAGTCGCAACAGGATAAGTCGTTGTCGCTGATGACAAAGAGATGTGTTCATCGGTAGTGTTAATCAGTCGCAACAGGATAAGTCGTTGTCGCTGATGCTGTTGTTTGTTGTTGCTGCTGCTGTTTCTGCTGCTACTAGTACTGTTGGTGTTGGTGCTAGGCCAGGCTTCTTCTTCTTCTTGTTGTTGTTGTTGTCGTTGTCTGTCGTGCTTTGCTTTGCTTGTTTGTTTGTATGTGTGTTCGGTTGTCTGTTTTGTGAGTTTTCCTGTGTTTGCTAATTGGTGTGCGAGTCTGTCGGTCTCTCTGTTTGTTGGTTTGTCAACTAGCTACCCAACTAGCTAGTTACGGCTGAGTCGGCATGGTGTTTCTTTGCACATGTCCATGGGTGTCTTGGCAGCTCGAGCTTTGGCTTCATCTGGGACCCCAAGAGGCCTGCACGATTTGGGTGCCGGCCCGTCAACAGCGACAGGGGCAGGGAGCAGCCATGGCTTCGATGTCTTTGCCGGCAGGATATTCCAAGGCCTGACTCTCACTCCATGCACGCATGTTGCACTCACGGCGGTCATATCGGGGCTATCAAAGTCTTAGGTATTTGGACTTGAATGACCCGGCTTACTCTCTTCAGGGTTGGGCTGGAGGTATAAGTGTCGTTTCTATTGTCTATGTTTTTTGTGGAACACTTGTTGAACTGCAGACGCCTGAGCCTAGCACTGGGTTGGCCCGACCCAAGATGTTTGGAACTCAGTAGCTGCAGCTTGTCGTGTGAGCGGACCGCCAGAATGACCCCGAGATGCGATTGCCAATGGAGTACTTGTAGCAGCACAGTCACGGAATACAGCTACTGTACCGATACAGGAGATGGTGAGCTTTTAGGCTAGTGGCCAAGAGTTGCAGAGTACCAGGAATCTTCTAGGAGTCTAGGACTCTCAAGGTTTCGATTGGACCCTCAAGCTTTGGCTTAGGGTCGAAAGGAGCAGCTTGTCATTGTAAGCTGTACGCAATCAAGCAGCTTTCATGGTGGGTCGAGCCCAGGGTGTCCAGCACAGAGTTTTATGAGATGATGCGGGACTCGCCGTTGCGGGCGCAATCATGGAACTAGGTTGCCAATTGATGGCTGTGATCCCTTAGTTGAAGGACTTCCGCGTGGCGACCCAAGCTGGCCAAGCAGCCCCGGTGGTTCGGACACTCTCCTTCAGCCAGCAGGCTGCGCCTGCTCCCCAAGCTGCAAGCATTTCTCGGATTCCGACCAGGGTGCAGCGAGCCACAAGTTTCCACGCAGGGGCACCTACGCATCCTACAACGGTCTACACAGCTCCAGGTCCAGTTGGCCGCCAAACAATCCACCCCGCTGTCCCTGCCGCAACCCATGGGTTTGTCGCCCCTGGGTTCGGCCGCCAGACAAGCACACCAGTTACACACGTCACTCAGCCGTTTGGCCGGCAAACCAGCACACCAGCCACCGTGACTCAGCCTTTTGGCCGCCAGACAAGCACACCAGCCACCGTCACTCACGCGTTCGGGCGCCAGACAAGCACGCCGGCCCCTGTGCCGCTGCAGCAGGCTGTCCCCGCTCCAATCTACCGTCGGTACACCTCGTTTACAGCTCCACCCGGCGTTGGCCTTGCAGCTGCCGCCCGAGCTGCCACGGCCTTCCACACTCAACCTGCGACCCAGAGCCAGGACCAACCTTCTCAAGACGAGTTTGATGACACTCGTCTCATTCAGCGTATGAGAGCATGCGCCAAGTGTGCGCAACTGTTCCATTTCGATGCCACGACCGTGCAAAGGTCGAAGAGCTGCAGCCGGAGGTGGTCGCGGCTGCGGATGGACAGATTCTTACGCAGACCATTGCAGAGGCCAAGCGACCCGAAACACAGCTGTAAACCTACAAAGGAGCACAGCTCTCGAACCACGTTCCTCGTGTCTGCCAGGACGTGGAGCCCACTGAGGACGCCACAGTCCAGGCCCACCAAAGTAGAAGCGAAGGGCTGGTGTCCGAGTGTCCATCGTGTCTCTGCACAGGTCAAAGAGCAGCAGC